AGGACTGCACCCCGTCTTCACTCTGTGAACCCGCTGGCAACACACAGCTAGTCTGCCACTGTGACTCTGGAGGGCCTGTCCTGGTATGACCCAAGTGTGGCTCCACTTGCCAATCTTTGCTCAGCTGGGGGTGCAGGTTGGCCACTTGTTGCAAGGTGACCCATCTCTAGAACCAGAAAAGATACTCCATTTCCATCTGCTTCTATAAGGTTCCACATAATGGAAGGGACATCTTTGGGGGAACTTGGTGGCAACGGTGATGATGATGGAGGGTGATCCTAAGGCTTCCTTTCTTCTCCGTCTGGTGGTGGTGGTGGATTCAGCAGCTGCTAAAGAACCACGGATATTCCTTGAATTTACACAGTACTCAGATCTCAAGCTATTTTTGCGGGATACATGGAACCTACAGATTACCACCAGCAGAACAGGGCAGATTTATCATGGAGCCAGGTCTGAGTCCTGGCCACACTTTCTGATTGTGCCAAGAGCAGATGACAATGATGTCCTGATGACGCCATGCCCTCAGAGGAAGGTAGAGGACATCATCCTAGATTCACTTTTGAGGAGAGATGGATGTTGTCTCTATCAGAAGCCAAAGTACCTGGCCTAAATCTATATGAAATCTTAGGGAATCCTGATTAGCAACATAACCTTGAAAAAGACAAATTGGAGGATTTAAACTTTGTGATTTCAGAACTTACTAGACATATACAGTAATCAAGATGGTATAGTAATGGCATAAAGGCAGACATATAGACCAATGGATTGGGGCAAAGAGCACAGCAATAAACCCTCACAGATACCATCAGTTGATTTTTACAAGGGTACTGAGAGCATTCACTGGGGGATAGTCACTTCAACAATGGGAAACTGGATATCCACATGCAAAAGAAGGAGGTTGTATCTTTACCTTACATATACAAAAATTAACAAAATGAATCAAAGATCAAATATAAGAATTAAAATGATAAAACTTTAAAAAGAAAATACAGTCTAAAATCTTTATGACACTGGATTTAGTTGTGATTTCTTAGATATGACACCAGAAGTACAGGGAAAAAGGAGAATAGTTAAGTTGGACTTCATGGAAATTAAAAACTTTAGTACATCAAAGGATACTACCAACAGAGTGAAAAAACAAGCTTTAGAAATGGGAGAAAATATTTCTGAAACACACATTTGATAATAGATTACTATCCAGAATACATAGAGAATTCCTAAAATACAACAGTAAGAACTAAACAATCCAAATCACAAATGGGCAATGGCATGGACAGACATTTCTCCAAAAAAGATATACAGATGGCCAATAGCACAGGAAAAGATGTTCAACATCCTTAGTTATTAGAGACATTAAATCAAACCACCACGAGATACTACTTCACATTCATTAGGATGGTTATTATCAAGAACAAGAAAAATCACAAGCATTGGGGAGCACAGAGAGAACCTGACGCCCCTTTATACTGCCGGCAGGAATGTGAAATGCATTTGACGTGGAAAAGTCTGGCAATTCCTCAAGACATTAAACACAGAGTTACCATCTGATCCACAATTTTACTTCGAAAAGAATGAAAACAAATGTCCATAGAGAATCTTGTATATGAATGTTCTTATCAGCATTTTCCATAATAGGCTAAAGGAGGAGACAACCCACGTGTCCATCAATAGGTAAATGGATACATGAAACATGGTCTATGGTCACAGACTGTGGAATGCCCTTTAGCTTTAGAAAGGATGAGAGTGCAATGAATGTACAATCTGGTGAAGGGACTAAAGCTTCTGAACCATCCACCTAAGGATGATCAAGGCAATACTTTCTATGTCATGTGCATTTTACCACTGAATGATAGCTATAAAACCATCATTTTCATGGATAGAGACAATGCCCTTCTAAAATGTTAGACCAATTGACTGATGCTTTTAAAATTCAGCAACTAAAAACTTGTTACTCCTCCCATGACAAAGAGAGAAGAATAGGCTCTTGACACTCTCAACTTAGAATGATCCTCCATGATCAAATTACTCAAACCAGAGCTTTATAATACTCACAAGGCAGTCCTAAAACCAAGATTTTCAGATACAAAATGATGTGAAACTTCAGAAAAACATAACAACTTCAAACTATATAGTTTGTTTAATAATGCTCATTTTCATTTTTTACAGCAATTAGAAAAACAACCAAGTTTTATGTAGTCATTCAAGACATATACAACTGCAAATAAGGGAGAAATTTCAATTTTCCCCAATTTCTCATTTAAAGTCTCAAATGTCACCTTACCCATTATATACAAGCACAGAAATAAATAATATGTCAAAAATGTCTTTAATGTTCCCAGGACTTGAGTTACAAGGAAAATATCAAGAATTTAATCTTCTTTGTATATAAGAATTAACTCTTTTTTTTTAAAAAAAGAGTAGTTATAGCTGGACACAATATCTTTATTTTATTCACTTATTTTGATGTGGTGCTGAGAATGGAACCCAGGGCCTTGCATATGCCAGCGAGCACTCTACCACTGAGCCACAACCCTGAGAATTAACTCTTAGTCGATTCTGTATTTGTCTTTTACATTTTCTGGTTAAATACTAGCTCTTCTTAAAGTGGGACACTGATTTCACTCACTGTCTTTCTCAGGAAAGATGTGTGTAATCCAGTAATTAAAGAAGGCTGAGATTACTCTGGCATGGTCTGAAAGAAAACAAAAACAAAACAAAACAAAACAATGAATAAAATAGAGCTGAAGCAAAAAGGTAAATTACAAATGATTACTGTGTTGTTATCAGCCTTTAGGCCCCAAGTAGATCCTGAAATAGTCTAATTATGATGTAGACAGGGCCACAACACAACCTGTGGATCACACATTATGCAACAGACACAGAGTTGGTTCTGAGTGTCTGTGTTCTACTGGGGCTCTCAAGCTCTACTGTACCCAAACTTCATGCCCTCACAGCATTGCAGGGTCACACTTCACCTGCGGATTGAAATCATAAGGAGACAGAAGTTCCTGTCAAAGGTGAACAAGCAGGAGAAAACTGAAAGGGGGACAAGATGGGTTTTAGGGAACTCACTTTCATGAGGCCCAGTACTATACCAGAACAGCTAGAGCAAATGGTCAAGGGGACCAAGCAAGCCTTGGAAATCACCTGCCAGTCCTTGTATTGCTTCCTGGGAGAACGTAACTCCGATAAAGATTCTCTTTGAACGCTAGGCTTCCCAATGTGCAAAGACTCTAGAATCTAGTTTAGGACAGTTCTACCACTTCTAAAGTCATCAGCCGAGGGCATAGGTACAGGGAGGAACCTCCCCAGGGTTAGTCAGGGCCTGGGTTGCCACTGCTGCTGATGTGGATGCTTTACTTCCAAACCACATTGGAACCTGAGACCTGGTGCTTTGAGGAGAGAGGTCCGACCTGACCACTCTTCTGAAGCCACTCTGAGACCCTCCCAAGGCTGAAGCTCTTCTGACCAAGGGCAAGGTGCCTGACCTCTGCAAGCCTCCTTTTCTCACAGGCAGGGTGGTAAAACTTCACCTCACTTTAGACTGAGTACTAAAGGAGGATTGAATGCAGAAATTCTAGCAGTAGGTCTCAGTGCCTGCCTGGGATAGTAGTTCAGCCAATGGCAGCTCTGACTTTAAAGTGTGTCTGTGACTCAGTGTAACATGCAAACACTAGATCCACTCTGTCACTGAGCATTGACCTATTCCAGTGCTGCAAAAGCACATGAACTGGGCTTAGGAAATGTCTGTACCCGAATTGAGTGAAGTGTCGGATTTAGGACATGCGGCAGGCAGGAAACATTTTGTACCTGATGTTAAATGCTATCCCTAGAGATGAGATACTCATTAGATTTCATAAACTAGTTTCATGAGAAAGTAAACTTAATTCTAAATAGTTATAGAGGCCAAATCAGCATCAGACAAATTTGATCTTTGAAAACAAAGTTTGATCATATAAAATTTTATTTTACAAAATAGCTCAATATAGAAAAAACTAAGTGCCTCCTACCACCTGCTCAAGGGGAATATACTGAACAGAGATATTAGTTTTATCAACTGCTTAAAGCAAATGTATTATGGACAAAAACCTGCCCAGTGATTTTAATATTGGGGATCTCTGACTCCCTGACAGCTGCCCAGACTCAATGCATTTCAGGACACTGCAAAACAATCTTGTGCAGATTTAAAGAACTAAAATTTCAAATTTTAAGTGGTTTATTTTCATCCCATAAAAATTTCATATTAGTTTAGCTCAATAAAACTGACCATTTATGGTTTATAATACAACTTTACTATAGAATTTAAATGTGTCAAATCTTATATATATTAAATACTTAATAGCAGGTCTCACAACAACCAAAGTGAAGAGCCAGCCTGTGTGTGAAGGCCTTCGTCTCCTGTGCACCAGCCGCGCTCTGCTGCTTTCCACCCAGGGGCCCACTCCCAAAGGCATACTCTTCTTTCTTTCTTATTTTTGACAAAAAAATGCTTCTTTATTAGTGAGTTTTACAATATGGATAATACATAGAAAAAATATAAGTAAATGCAGACCCATCTGGCAAAAATGAACTCCAAAGAAGGTAAAGATGCCACAACTCAACCCACATAGGACGACACACTGCAGCTGGGACCAAAGACAGCACCAAGCTCACAGGTTTGTTTTTTTTTTTTTTTTTTTTTTTTTTTTTTTTTTAATTAGCTACACATGACATTACAATGATCTTGGCAATTCATACATTTTTAAAAAATTTTTTAAAAAATTTAAATCTAATGTGTTATGTATGACAGCAGAATGCATTACAGATCGTATCACACACATAGAGCACAGTTTTTCATATCTCGGGTTGTACACAAAGTATATTCACACCATTCATGTCTTCATACATGTACTTTCAAGTAATGATGTCCACCTCATTCCACTGTCTTTCCTACCCCCGTGCTCCCTCCCTTCCCCTCCCACCCCTCAGCCCTATCGAGAGTTCATCTTTTCCTCCCACGCTCCCCTCTCAACCCCACTATGAGTCAGCCTCCTGATATCAGAGAACACATTCAGCATTTGGGTTTTGGGGATTGGCTAACTTCACTTCCAACGCCATCCATTTACCTGCAAGTGCCATAATTTTATTGCCTTTTATTGCTGAGTAATATTCCATTGTGTATATACACCACAGCTTCTTTATCCATTCATCTATTGAAGGGCACCTAGGATGAACCTAGGATGAACCTCACTGGATCATGGCTCCACAGTGTAGCTATTGTGAACTGTGCTGCTATAAACATTGATGTGGCTGTGTCCCTGTAGTATGCTGTTTTTAAGTCCTTTGGGTATAGACTGAGGAGAGGGACAGCTGGGTCAAATGGTGGTTCCATTCCCAGTTTTCTGAGGAATCTCCATACTGCTTTCCATAATGCTTGTACCAGTTTGCAGTCCCACCAGCAGTGTATGAGTGTGCCTTTTCCCCACATCCTCACCAACACTTTTTTTGTTTGTCTTCTTAATAGCTGCCATCCTGACTGGAGTGAGATGAAATCTTAGAGTGGTTTTGATTTGCATTTCTCTGATTGTTAGAGATGTTGAGCATTTTCATATCATTGTTGATTGATTGTATATCACCTTCTGAGAAGTGTCTGTTCAGTTCCTTAGCCAATTTATTGATTGGGTTATTTGGTTTTTTGGTGTTTAGCTTTTTGAGCTCTTCATAAACCCTAGAGACTAGTGCTCTATCTGATGTGTGAGGGGTAAAAATTTGCTCTCAAGCTGTAGACTCTCTGTTCACCTCACAGATTGTTTCTTTTGCTGAGAAAAAACTTTTTAGTTTGATTTCATCCCATTTATTAATTCTTGACTTTAATTCCTGTGCTATAGGAGTCTAATTAAGGAAGTGAGGCCTAATTGGATATGATGGAGATTTGGGCCTACCTTTTCTTCTATTAGATGCAGGGTCTCTAGGTCCTTGATTCACTTTGAGTTTTGTGCAAGGTGAGAGACAGGGGTTCAATTTCATTTTGTTGCATATGGATTTCCAGTTTTCCAAGCACCATTTGTTGAAGAGGTGATCTTTTCTCCAATGTACAATTTTGGCACCTTTGTCTAATGTAAGATAATTATAATTTTGTGGGTTAGTCTCTGTGTCCTCTGTTCTGTACCACTGGTCTACCAGTCTGTTGTGGTGCCAAATACCATGCTGTGTTTGTTACTATTGCTCTGTAGTATAGTTCAAGGTCTGGTATAGTGATGCCACCTGCTTCACTCTTCCTGCTAAGGATTGCTTTAGCTATTCTCGGTCTCTCTATTTTTCCAGATGGATTTCAGATTGCTTTTTCTATTTCTATGAGAAATGCCATTGGGATTTTTGATTGGAATTGCATTAAATCTGAATAATGCATTTGGTAGTGTGGTCATTTTGATAATATTAATTCTGCCTATTCAAGAACAAGGGAGATCTTTCCATCTTGTAAGATCTTCTTTAATTTCTTTCTTTAGTGTTCTGTAATTTTCATTGTAGAGGTCTTTCACCTCTTTTGTTAGGTTGATTCTCAAGTTTTTTTGTTTTTTGTTTTTTTTGAGGATGTTATAAATGGAGTAATTTTCCTTGTTTCCCTTTCAGAGGATTTGTCACTGATACACAGAAATGCCTTTGATTTATGGGGGTTGATTTTGTATCCTGCTACTTTACTACTAGTAAACTTCTACTAGTTCTAGAAGTTTTCTGGTAGAATTTTTTGGGTCTTCTAGGTGTAGAGTCATATTGTCGGCAAATAATGCTAATTCAAGTTCTTATTTTCCTATCTGTATCTCTTTAATTTATTTCGTCTAATTGCTCTGGCCCATGTTTCAAGAACTATGTTAAATAGAACTGGTTGAAAGAAGACATCCCTGTCTGGTTCCAGATTTTAGAGGGAATGCTTTCAATTTTTCTCCATTTAGAATGATGTTGGCCTGGGGCTTAGCATAGATAGCTTTTACAATGTTGAGATCTCATGTTCCTGTTATCCCTAGTTTTTCTAGTGTTTTGAACATGAAGGGGTGCTGTATTTTGTTGAATGCTTTTTCTGTATCTATTGAGATGACCATATGATTCTTATCTTTGAGTCTATTGATATGATGACTTACATTTATGGATTTCTGTATTTTGAACCAACCTTGCATCCCTAGGATGAACCTCACTTGATCATGGTGCACGATCTTTTTGATGTTTTTGTATTCAATTTGCCAGAATTTTATTGAGAATTTTTACATCTATGTTCATTAAAGATATTGGTTTGAAGTTTTCTTTCTTTGATGTGTCTTTGCCTGGTTTTGGAACCAGGTGATATTGGCCTCATAGAATGAGGACATAGAATGAGTTTGGAAGTGCTGCCTCTTTTTCTATTTCCTGAAATAAATTGAAGAGTATTGGTATTAGTTCTTTAAAGGTCTTGTAGAACTCGGCTGTGTATCCATCCAGTCCTGGGCTTTTCTTGGTTGGTAGGCTTCTGATGGCATCTTCTATTTCATTGCTCGAAACTGATCTGTTTAAGCATGGTACTGGCACCAAAACAGGCAGGTGGACCAAGGTACAGAACAGAGGCCACAGAGACTAACCCACAAAATTACAACTACCTTATATTAGACAAAGGTGCTAAAAGCATGCACTGGAGAAAGGATAGCATCTTCAACAAATGGTGCTGGGAAAATTGGAAATCCATATGCAACAAAATGAAATTGAATTCCTATCTCTCATCATGCATAAAAGTTAACTCAAAATGGATCAAGGACCTAGGAATTAGACCAAAGACTCTGTGTCTAATAGAAGAAAAAGTAGACCCTGATCGTCATCATGTGGGTTTAGGTCCCAACTTCCTTAATAAGACTCCTATAGTGCAAGAATTAAAACCAAGAATCAACAAATGGGATGGATTCAAACTAAAAAGTTTCTTCTCAGCAAAAGAAATAATCTGTGAAGTGAATAGAGAGCCTACATCCTGGGAGCAAATTTTTACCCCTCACACATCAGCTAGAGCACTAATCTCTAGGGTATATAAAGAACTCAACAAGATAAACACCAAAAAAAAAATAATAATCCAATCAATAAATGGGCCAAAGACCTGAACAGACACTTCTCAGAAGAGGACATACAATCAATCAACAAACATACGAAAAAATGCTCATCATCTCTAGCTATCAGAGAAATGCAAATCAAAACTACTGTAAGATGCCATCTCACCCCAGTAAAAATGGCAGCCATAATGAAGACAAATAACAAGTGTTGGTGAGGATGTGGGGGGAAAAGGCACAGTCATACACTGCTGGTGGGACTGCAAATTAGTGCAGCCAATTTGGAAAGCAGTATGGAGATTCCTTGGAAAGCTGGGAATGGAACCACCATTTGACCCAGCTATCCCTCTTCTAAGACAATACCCAAAGGACCTAAAAACAGCATACTACAGGGACACAGCCACATCAATGTTTATAGCAGCACAAATCACAATAGCTAAACTTTGGATCCAACCTAGATGCCCTTTAGTGGATGAATGGATTAAAAAATGTGGCATTTATACACAATGGAATATTACTCAGCACTAAAAAATAATAAGATCATGGCATTTGCAGGGAAATGATGGCATTAGAGAAGATTATGCTAAGTGAAGTTAGTCAATCCCTAAAAACAAATGCTGAATGTTTTCTATGATATAAGGGGGGTGACTCAAAATGGGGTAGGTAGGGAGAGCATAGGTGGAAAATTACCTCTAGATAGGGAATAGGGGTGGGAGGGAAAGGGAGGGAGAATGGGAATAGCAAGGATAGTGGAAGGAGATGGTCATCATTATACAAAAATTCATGTATGAAGATGGGAATTTGGTATCAACATACCTTCTATACAAACAGATTTGATAAATTGTGGTATAAGGGTGTATTAAGAATTGTAATGCAAAAAATCATGAATGTAATGCACTCCTCTATTGTGATGTATGTAAAAAATAATAATAATAAAAAAGAAATTGATCTGTTTAAATTGTGTATATCATCCTGATTCAATTTGGGCAAATCATGACCCTAGAAATTTGTCAATGCCTTCAATATTTTCTATTTTATTGGAGTACAAGTTTTCAAAATAATTTCTAATTATCTTCGTAATTCTGTAGTGTCTGTTGTGATATTTCCTTTTTTATCACGTATGTTAGTAATTTGAGTTTTCTCTCTCCTCTTCGTTAGTATGGCTAAGGGTTTGCAAAATTTATTTATTTTTCAAAAGAACCTACATTTTGTTTTGTCAATTTTTAAATTGTTTCTTTTGTTTCAATTTCATTGATTTCATCTCTGATTTTATTTATTTCCTGTCTTTTACTGCTTTTGCTGTTCATTTGTTCTTCTTTTTAAGGGCTTTGAGATGTAATGTGAAATCAATTATTTGTTGAATTTTTCTTCTTTTAAGGAATGAACTCCATGCAATGAACTTTCCTCTTGATACTGCCTTCATGGTGTCCTAGAGATTTCGGTACATTGTATGGGTGTTCTCATTCACCTCTAGAAATTTTTTAATCTCCTCCTTGATGTCTTTGCAACCCGTTGTTCATTCAGTAGCATATTATTTAGTCTCCAGTTTTTGGAGTAGCTTTTATTTTTTATTTTATCATTGATTTCTAATTTCATTCCATTAGAATCTGATAGAATGCAGGGTAGTACCTCTACTTTTTAATATTTACTAAGAGTTGCTTTGTGGCATAATATATGATCTATTTTAGAGAAGGAGCCATGTGCTGATGAGAAGAAAGTATATTTGTTAACTGAAAAATGAAATATTCTATACATGTCAGTTAAGCCTAAGTTATTGATTGTATTATTGAGTTCTATGGTTTCTTTATTTAGTTTTTGTTTGGACAGTCTATCCAAAGGTGAAAGAGGTGTGTCAAAGTCACCCAGAATTATTGTGTTGTGGTCTATTTAACTCTTGAACTTGAGAAGAGTTTGTTTGATGAACATAGATGTGTCATTGTTTGGGGAATATAAATTTATTATTGTTATGTCTTGTTGATGAATGGATCCCTTAAGCAGTAAAAAATGTCCTTCTTTATCCCTTTTGATTAACTTTGGTTTGAAGTCTACTTTATTTGATACGAAGATGGAAACCCCTGCTTGCTTCCGCAATCCATATGAGAGGTATGATTTTTCCCAACCTTTCACCTTTAGTCTGTGGATGTCTTTTCTTATGAGATGAGTCTCTTGGAGGCAGCATATTGTTGGGTCTTTTTTTAAAATCCAATCTGCCAGTCTACGTCTTTAGATTGGTGAGTTTAGGCCGTTAACAGTCAGAGTTATTATCGAGACATGATTTGTATTCCCAGTCATTTTTGTTTATTTTTGTTTTTAAGTTGACTTGGTTTCTCCTTTGATTAGTTTTTCCTTTAGTGAATACCTCCCTTTGCTGATTTTCACTGTTGTTTTTCAATTCCTCTTTAGGAAATATTTTGCCAAGGATGTTCTATAGTGCAGGCTTTTGAGCTGTAAATTCTTTTAATTTTTGTTTATCATGAAAGGTGTTTATTTCATCATCAAATCTAACGCTTACTTTTGCTAGATATGAGATTCTTGATTGGCATCCATCTTCTTTCAGGGCTAGATATATGTTATTCCAGGATCTCTAGCTCTCAGGGTCTGGGTTGAAAAATCTGCACATAATCTAACTGGTTTCCCCCTATATATAATCTGATTCCTTTCTCTCTTGACTTTTAAGATTCTCTCCTTATTCTGTATGTTAGGTATTTTCATTATGATGTGCCTTGGTGTGGATCTGTTGTGATTTTGTACATTTGGTGCCCTGTAAGCCTCCTGAATTTGGTTTCCCAATTCATTCTTCATGTTTGGAAAATTTTCTGATATTATTTCACTGAATAGATTGCTCATTCCTTTAGTTTGGAACTCTATGCCTTCCTCTATCCCGACAACTCCTAAATTTGGTCTTTTCATGCTATCCCATATTTATTGAATGTTCTGCTCATGGTTTCTTAGAGCTTTGAGATGTAATGTTAAGTCATTTATTTGTTGATTTTTTTCTTCCTTTAAGGAATGAACTCCATGCAATGAACTTTCACTGTGTGAACTTTCACTTGTCCTTTTGTTCTTTTCAAGATTATACATTTTGTCTTCATTGTCTGAGGTTCTCTCTTCCAGGTGGTCTAATCTGTTGGTGATGCTTTCAATTGAGCTTTTAATTTGGTTTATTGTTTATTATTTCTTTCTTCAAGAATTTGTTTGTTTTTTTTTAAAACTTCTATCTCCCTGTTGAAGTCATCTTTTGTTTCCTGTATTTGCTTATATAGCTCACTGTCAAAATGGTCTTTTGCTTCCTGTATTTGCTCTCTTATATCATCCTCTAATTCACAGAACATTTAAATCATGTGCCTCCTGAACTCCTTCTCTGTAATTTCTTCTGCTGCGCTGGCCTTGGATTCTAATAATGTGGTGTCTTGATATGTTTGGGGCACTTTCTTCCCTTGTCTTCTCATATTGCTTGCGTGTCTTCCCTTCCAGCACTGTGGATCCGAGGCGTTACTTTTTTTTACCCTGTAGGCTTCTAGTGCCCCTGTAGGGATCCAAGACCTCTCCTTTGAGGTGAAAGAGAATGTTAACAGATACCAATATAAATAACATACAGCCTAAAAACAAATGTTTACTATTAAGATGTTTACAGTTTGGTCACAATGTACAGAAATGGTGAATTCAACTATTATCTACAGTTGCAATCTGTAGGTTTGTAAAAGAGTTTACATTTTCTGACGGTGGACAAAGAACTGGGGGTGAGGAGAGGGTGATATGCTGAGGAGGTAGGAGGTGAGGATACAGAGTTGTTATACCTTGGGAAGTGTGAAAGAGAAATCTAAAGAGGAAGATTAGCAGCAGGAAAAGGGAGAGGAAGTAATTTTGGGTAGACACGTAAGTGGGAAGACAGTAGAGTATATAAAACAAAAACACACATATATATTAAGAAAAATAATAAATGTTAAAATATTGTAGAAATTGGTGGGACAAAAGAAAAAAAGAATATACAAAACTGTAATACACTATTCTGCTATCCCAGTCCTCAAAATCCTAATTCATGCAAAGTACTTGGTTTTGCGTATGTAGGGGAGACTAGAGAGGAGAGGGAAAAAGATCTGTAAGGAAGAAGCAGGTATTGTTTTGGCTGGAGATCAGTGTCTTTACTGCTTCCCTTCTCATCCAATAGGTGGGTCATCTGTGGTCATCCGTATCTCTGCCCTCAGGATGGTGAAGGTAACTGGGGTGTCACTGTGGGGTAGTGGCTGCTGGGGAGAGGGGGAGTTAGAAACTGGGTACCTGGCCAGCCAGAGTTCCGACCTGGAAGGTGCCCCCACTGAAGATGGTGATGAAAGTAGCCCAAGACGGAGGTGCTGCTTTCAACCATGAGGTGTCAGATCAGGTAGGGAAGCCGGGCAATGGCGTCGGACGATGAGTTCAGAGGGGATCTCTGTGGCATGCAGCACGTGGCTGCTGGCTGACTTCAGAGCCTGTGTGAAGTTCTCGGTGCAGGCAGGCTACCGTGCATAGGGAACTATCTCTGCCGTCGCAGAGTCCCAAGATGGTGGCAACTGGGAGAGCCCCACTAGATGGGGGTACGTACGGGGTGGTGGAAAGCTGCCAGGTGTCCTGCGTGGGAGTGGCGTTCTTGATTTCTGCTCGGGTGGGTGGCTGAAAGTTCTGTGTAGGGTGCTGCAGCTGATGGTTTTGCTCAGGTACCTGGCAGTCCTGTGTGGGAAGTAGTTGGGAGACCTACTCTGATGCTGAGGCTTGGAACCCTGGACAACATGGTGCTTCCTGCTTGGGGGCAGGAATATTGCTCGCAGAGAAGCAGTATTCTCACTACTTGAATCCCAGGTCACAGAGTGATACAGAATGCTGCCTCCCTGGGGCCGCCATCTTGGATGCCCCAAGCATACAGTTTTAAACTCTGCTTTCAAGGTAACTGCTAACCTGTAAGGAACTGGCTTGTCCTACTGTTTGTTTCAGTGTTGCCATTCCAGAGTGGGCTGTCATGAACCGAATCCTTCTGATGCAGAGACTTTTATGATCTTGTCCTTTTGTTTTCTGCATTGCCACAGCTGGGAGGTGCTAACAGACACAAGCCAGCCTGGTGGCCGACTTGTTTCAGGAACAGCTTGGGCCTTCTGAGGGCCGGGCCCTCAGTCAACTCTGCGGCTGTGATGGAGCAGTGAGGGCAGCACTGGGCACTCCAGCAGCCGCGAGCTTTGGGTGGGTGGCAGGCCAGAGCAAACGAGCTGAGGGGATGCTCTTTCCCTCTGTGCAGGTGGTCTACTGGCAGTCAAGAGCCGGCTATTCTTCTACCTGCCCCTTGAGCCGACTGCCTCCTCTAGTCTCATCCCTGTCTTCCCCCTAGCCAACCCTCCTGGCTGGTCATCTTTGTGCCCTCTCTCTCCTGACTTCCTCTCCACCCCTCACCAAGGACGTCTTCGTCACTGGCCCCTCTCTGCTGTGTTCAGGTGATCTCCACTCCTCACCTGGATGTTCCTACCCAGGTCTCCTGACAGGGCCACTCACACCAAACCGACTACTTCTTCTTTGCCTACTTGTTTTTCCCACGAGCTAAGGCCAAAGCACCCATCTGCCCTCCCCCACCCGACCCCACCCACACCCAGTCAGCCAGCAGATTCCACTGCTTTCTCTCCATGATCTGTCTGGACATTGGCCACACCTGTCCTTCGTGCTACTTCACCCTGGCCCATGCTGTGGTTAGCTCTCACCAGGGCCATTATCACAGCATCCCCAACTCCTGGTTTCTGCTCTTGCCCCCTTGGTCTAGCAGCCCAGAGACCTGGGCACTCAAAGCCGTCTAGAAACTTCCTGTTTCTCTCTGAATAAAGGCTAACACACTGTCATGACCACAAGGCTGGTCAACTCCCAAGCCTGTCATCTGTTCTACCCTCTGTCCTCTGTGCCACCACACTGGCCTCCTCACTGTTCCTTACTGTGGCTCCTTTTTGCTCCTAACTCAGGGGGCCATTCCTGTCTCAGTCTACGCTGGCTACAAGAACACCTGCCTCTATGTCTTCCTCCTCCCTATTAGCCTCTTACCCACGAGAACTGCTACGTATTTTACTTAACTATCTGACTCATTTTGTCTTTCCCACTAGGATACAAGCTCCTGAGAACAGACGCTTCATCTGCCTTCTTCACTGTTGAACCTGGGACCCGAGCAGCTCTCCACACAGGAGGGTAAAAGAGACACTGTTCCTCTACAAAGAGGGAACTCATACACATGGGGTGGCACTACTGCTATCCCAAACTAGAGCGACCTCTTCTACCCACGAATCAGCGTGCATTGCTTCTGGTACTTGCATGCTTATGCCCTAATGCGACTGTTCTTTTGTTCCCTGGCTTGACTTGCTATCTGGCTTACAGGATGTGAGTCTTGATTTTAGGTGTGCTGTGATTTCAGCTGTCTCCTATCACGGAAACCTGTGTCATTCTGTCCTGTAACTCCTCACAGCAACCTGTAGTTCCTCTTGCTCATTCACTCGAGTGAATCGCCCAGAGCCTCCTCAGCATTGGATGGGTGCTTGGATCTCACTATCTGGAGATTTCTTAATTACACCCACCATGGCCCATGGCCCCACACATGGCACTGGGGAGACACGAACATAATTGGTCCAAGCATGTGGCAGTTTGTATGCAGTGGTATTGGAGAAGTACACAAAAGAAAAGTCACCAAATCATCCAACACCCTTTCTCACTGGGGGGGGGGGTGCAATAATGCACCAAGATCTTTGGTGGGTCAGAAAAAAAATCTACCTTCTGCAAACACAGCAGAAGAGAAGGAAAAGAGGAAGAAATGACTTCTTCCACTTTTTTTTTTTTAACTTAGGAAAATTGGCTCTAAGAATTGATAGCTTACAAGTCTGGAAAACTAGATGGCATATATATTTCTGCATATACTATGAGAAATACTTTTACATCAAGCAGAGGTACAAAAAGCCTGTATCTCCATGGGATTCTATTCTTCCAAACCATATGTGAGTTGTTGTATTTTCTAGTCCATTGCTGTTTTGGTGGGTTTTCAGAGGAAAACCTTGACAAGTGTATTGGAGCAGCACAATAAATAATGGCTCAGTACTTACCGGGGGGCATCATGCAGTGCTCTGGGAACATCTCCAGAGCATGCTCCAGTCTCTCAGTGTCTTGCAGAAGCAGCAGCGTTCTCATGTGATCCAGAATGGACACATCGGAGGGAGACATGCTGCGAGATTCAAGACAGGTGAGCAGCTCTTTAGCACTCTCTGCTGAGACAGCGGAATCTGTGTCTTGGGCAACACCTGGAAGAAGTCAGCATTACTGAGAAATACAGTCATAGTTTTGTTTCTGTAAGCTGGAGACAAATTCTTACCTTTTAAAGAAGCCTCAAACATACATTCCACCTAAAATGAGACTCAGGAATATAGAAAGCTATCAGGAGAGAGAATCAGAGATCTCTGACAAGTGAATAAAGATAAGAGGCGTCCACTATTTGAATGACAATGAAAACCTGGATCTGTTTTTATGTCTGATTTTTAAAAACATCTTCCAAGTATGACACAAAACTCCATCATGAACACCAGGCAATAAAACCAAGTTCTCCCCAGCCACGTCATGTCTTTAAAAACCAGAGCAAGACCACTGACCATTTAGGTTAATCAAGGAGAATCATTCGTGCAGGGACCTACCTTCTCTTTTATCTGCTGAAGGCGTGCAAGTGGTTTAGGTGTTGGTCTTGTGAAGACAATGTGTGCTTTTTTCTGGTTGCTTCTGAAATTTTTATCACTGCTTTTCAGCTGTTGGACTACAGTATGCTTAGGTGTGGTGTTGGCGTTAACCTTGCTTGAGTCCACATAACTGGCGCAATCTGTGACCGTCTCTTTTTATCATTTTGGAAAATCCCACTATCCTCTCTAGATACAGCTCCTGGTCGGTCCGTCCTCCTCAACCTTGGATTCCAGCTACATTGACGTCAGACCTCATTATGTCCATGTGGGTTAGGCTTCTTTATATTTCCCATCCTGACACCCTCATCCTGGGGACTTTCTTTGACCTTTCCCCCCAGCTGCTAATTCTCTTTTATGTTGAATCTGATCTGCTTTTAAATTCATCTTTTAGTTATGAATTTCAGTTGTCATATTTCTCAGGTCTAGAATTTCCATTTGATGGTCTTAATGTTATCTAATGTTTTTCATTTTTTCACTTGAACATCTTAATTAAAGTTGTTTTAAGTCTCTTGACAACATTATTATCATGCTCTCTGCTACTCTCTAGGTGGGGTTTTTTGGTTATGTCTCTTGGCATGCTGGTAAATGCTCATTTAAAAAATCACAAAGGTCTTGGGTAATATTTTCCTCCAGAGAGGGCTCAGCCTTTTCTCTGCTATGCAGAGAGGGGAGGGTCAGTATGACCCATCAAGGATGGGACCCACCAAGGGAAGGATGCACCTCTGCTCGGCCTGGCTCTGAGGACACAGCCTGTGGAGCCATGCTCAAGTGTGGAGTGAACTCCTGCATGCTCAGATTCTCAAGATTACCCAGAGGTCCTGTTACCTTCCACCTCCAGCCTCAGAATTTGGCAAAGGTTTTCAGGGAAACCATCAGTGTCAGGCTCTATTCTCTGGCCTCTTTTCTCACTTGTTTCTGAACACTCTACTTTGATGAATACTCTACTGGTTTGTCTGCCCTCTACCCACCAGGCTCCACTGGATCCTTTCCGCAAACCCTCAAATGCCCCACACCCAAGAAATGGCAACTACCTTGAAGGAAAAGTTGGCTATGGATGGTGGCTCACCTCCCCAGGGGGTGTCTGGGATTTTGTGTTCTTGGAGCTGGTTTCCTCTGAAGCTTTTGTATTATTTCAACAGATTTAATTTTTTTTTTTTTTTTTTAGAGAGAGAGAGAGAGAGAGAAGAGAGAGAATTTTAATATTTATTTTTTATTTTTCCGCGGACACAACATCTTTCTTTGTATGTGGTGCCGAGGACCGAACCTGGGCCGCACGCATGCCAGGAGAGCGTGCTACCGCTTGAGCCACATCCCCAGCCCAGATTTTTAAATTTTTAATCTGTCTTTTCTACTTATTTTTGGTCCAACTACTAGTCTGCTACAAGCTCCTCTATAATATACAGAATGAGATGTCTACTGAGATCTCCAGAATCCTACCTCTACTTGTGTCCTTCTAGTAAACTACTAATAAACATGCTGAAGAGAAAAGGTGAATGTCACCTGCAACCACCTCCTGGTTAAAACACATCTATTAAATGGTATTTTTTTTAATCACTCTTTAAATCAGTTACTTACTGCTCACATTATTGTATGGCCAATATTTCTTGATTTGTAAGAACACTGTCAAATGTCTTGCTGGCATTTGGATCTACTAAACTCACCACACTCCCCCAGATCTCCTAGCAGTATCATCCAAATAGGAAAATGGCTGGTTTGGAGTGCCTGTGTTCTGGGTCCAACCACACTGTTGTGTGGTTAGCACTGGCTTCTTTCTAGTCCTGAGTTCTGTTGTTCAGAAAGCCTTATGCAAATGTGAGCAATTGTCCTTGGGAATAACTCAATTTTTATTTTTCATATACTCTATCAATACAAATATTCACTCAAAAAATGTTTATTGAAAACAAATCAGTAAGTTACATGTGAAAGAGTAAAACACATGTGTCCTAAGGAGAGAGTTGTGCTTCTTTTACTTCTCTAATAGCTTATGAACAAACAGAAAATCAAAATCTCCAAACTGGATTTAACTTTATTTAGAAAAACACTACTGAAGGGAAAGTGAGGAATAAGAGATGGGTAAGTGAAAAATGAAAGACTGAGACAGGCAGAGATACACACGAGAGGGTTCATTTGTCAGAGCTGACAATAAAGGCCATCTCTCTGTAGAAGAGAGAGGCTAAACAGGCGTGAGTTCTGGGACTTTTATGGGGAGGCTCAGGAGTGGGGTCCTAATGGGGGTTGGTTAGGGGTTGGGCTGGTATGAGGGAGTGGTGAGCCTTTCTCAGAAATGCCCTTGGGCGGGAAAGCGAAACATTTTCCTTAAAATGGCTGTCACTTAAGATGGCCATCCAGATGCTAAGGAAGGACCTTATAACTATACAACAGGAATGCTTCCCAAACCTGATTTTGGAGGAATGAAGAACGCAAGCCCATCCATGCCTGGAGCTGCTGCTCCCCTGCACTGGCGGTGCTGCTGCTCTAGGCAATCCCCCTTAGGCCACAAGGAGGAACAACACAGCACAGTAATGTGCTAGTTCTGCTCTCTGGTGGAAAGAATGCAAATTTTCTGATTTTTTCCTTTGAAACTAATTGTTTACTTTGAATTTTCTAATGCATTTTACACTACAAATGTTTAAGTATTTTACTATATTTTTTTTTTCCTAAATATAAAGTGGATGGTATTATTCAAAGGAAAGCAGGAAAAGACATACCATCATAGAAATACATTTCTTGTGTTGATTTCAGAAAGTTCAGGATGCCCTCTGCCTTTCGACTGTGAATCTCAACGTCTTCCTGGGTGGTGGCCGCATCTTCTTCTTGGCTGGCCTCTGCTGAGGCGGCCTCCTTGCTGTCCTGGACTCCTCGTGTAGCACCCCTCAGGTCGTCCTGTTCACTGCCGCTCTCCTCAGGCTGGTACAGGAAGCTGACACCAGTGGCCCTGGTTACGACGCCAGCTGCTTTCTTCCTTCTAATTTGCCGCTTCTTTTTTAGCTTCCTTTTCTTATTTTTGCTCATTATGGGGCCATCTGTCGGCTGTGGCTGTATTTGTTGTAAAAGATTCTGCTGTTTCTCTAATTCTGCCAGTTCTATATGAACATTATTAGGATTCTTAAATTTTTTCTTTAATTTATGCTTTCTAATTCTTCTTCTTTTTGATTGACCATGAGGATCCTGATCTGTTTTAAAAAATAATCATATAAAGAGTTTTCAATGTACTTGAACCATAACAAACGTATTAGGTTAGCGCGGCAGGATGGTACCTGCCCATAATACCAGCGACTCTGGAGGCTGAGGCAGAAGGATCGCAAATTCAAGGCCTGCCTGGGCAATTTAGGGAGATCCTCAAAATAAAAAAATTAAAAGGGCTGGAATGTTGCTCAGTGGTGGAGAGCCCCTGTATTCAATGCCCAGTATTAAAACAAAACAAAGCAAAACAAAACATGTATTAGGTAAATAAATTTTCATTGGGATTTTATAATTTTAGTAGAAAAAGAATCTAAATTATTTGCTTCTGATCCTCAACCTTTCCTTACAATAATTATGCTACCAAGATCCTGGGATTGAGCAGTCTACATATTCCCTCCCCCAAAACAAAGTCACATATAGACATATACACACAGCTGTTACAATTATGACACCTAGCATGTTTTTAAGGATATAAGAGTTGATGTTTATTAGGTGTAAAATTTCATTCTGATAGCCATAGGAAAATTTTCAAGAATTTTTGTACTGTTTACATTTTAATAAAAATCATTCAACTTTTTACTTGCAAAAATTAGAAAACAAGCAGTCTTTGGGTAGAAAAGTCCTGAGATGTATTATTTGCCAATTTTCCTGATATAAATATTTCCAGTATGACTGATTGCAAACTGCCACTGTGACACCACAGAATGGAAAAAGAGATTCACACCCGAATCTCATGTGCTGGTGGGAGCAGCACCTCACTTGAAGGGTGCCAGAAGTAGAAAGGAGGGAGGGAGGGCTGGGTTGGGGCTCAAGCGGTAGCACGCTCGCCTGACATGCACGGGGTGCTGGGTTTGATCCTCAGCACCACATAAAAATAAAAAAAATAAAGATGTTGTATCCACCGAAAACTAAAAATAAATATAAAAAAAAAAAATAAAGGAGCTCCGGAGGGACACACCGCTCGATGGGGGTGGGGTACAGTGTCAAGAATGGGGCACAGCGATCCAGAAGGGCACACAGTGTCAGCCAGAAGCACCAGTAAGGAGAAATGTGGATGTATAAGTCACTGTTAGCAGAAGGAGGGTCTCAGATGAGTGGATCAGGCACAGTTCACAGATGGAGACACCAACAATCAAGGGTGCATCTGGAAAGGAAGAAAGGGTGATGTACAATCCTGCACATGTGTGCCCCCTTGAAGGTCGCCAAGCACGCAGAGCTGATCCCTACCGCAGTGTGAAGGACACTCATGCCTTCTTCAGGCCCTGTCGGAGCAAGTCAGCCTCTGCAAAGCTAGCCACTGCACTTTGCAGTGCTTGGGTTTTCAGACAACTCTCATTTCTAGGAAGTTCTTGTTCAATTTTCTAAGCCACATCTTACCCCATGACAGATCCCTATGAGAAATCAAGATTAAGTAATGTACATGAAATTTTTGAAATACTGTATGAAGGCCAGATATTTTTAGATTGGACAAAAACATGTTTTCCTATGATTTCTACTGAGTTTATACTAATTTCCCTTCTGAAATCAGAATATGTCTAATTTGTCTTCCATGTTAAATTCTTCAAAGCAGCTCTCACAATCACCCAAGTTTTCTCAATAAACTCAACAGGGAGCTGCCTGGCCAAGTGCTAGGGGACAAAGCTGTGGTCACAGAACACAGTGCTCTTCCCCTGCCTATACATGTCAAGTCAGTATGCAGCCTGTCTCCCATCAAGCTGACTAAGCAGGCACATCATGCTTACATACATGCGATGCATACTTTAATATCCTCTGAACTCTTCTCTCATCTGACACAGATGGCCCTCTCCAGCTTTGTGTTTTGTGGCATTGTCAGATCAGACACTGTGTGACGGGAATGAATGATGACTAATTCCACTGCTATTTTTGAATGAGAGTTCCCAGTTTTCTCCTGATATACTTAGCAACCGTATCTATGAAACCTACTGCTATCTCAAACTCGGCAGGAAGCCAAAACTCCTTCTCATAATATCATGATACAGGATTATGGTCCAACACATAATTAGTGTATTTCATTGCTTTCCTTCAATCACCAATGGATTTTTGAATACAGTATTTCCCATTTCATCTGCAAGTGTGAGTATCGGTGTCAGGGACCTGCTAATAAGCGCAGCTGGCAAACGAATCCTGGGTGCAAATATCTCTGAAAAAAATATTCGACCCTTGAGATGGTCTAAAAAATACTAATATTAAAAAAACTTTATTCCCTAGGTTCAGTTTTGAAAAGACAAAAATTTCTTTTTGTTGGTGTCTTTTTAAATAAAAACATACTTTACTTCATTAATTTGGATGAGAGATTCCACGAGTGTTTCATAACCCAAAGGAGGCCCAGTGGGGGTCAGAAGGAGCTCCCTGACACCCACTAAGGAGAGCAGTTGGAAGCAGCTCTGGGATGCTCTCCACACTTTTCCCTGGCTGGGACAGCTCCCCAGCCACGGAGCTCACGTCAGATTCATTCTGTGTGGCTCCTTTTCTCTTTTTAAGGGGTCAGACTGTAATATAAAGGGTTGGCCTATTGAGAATGATCATACTAATAATCTATTTTAAAAAGACTATAAATCAGACCTCAAAAAGTGGACGGGGCAAAAATGCTCTGGAACAATATTTATCAATTTTCTCATATAAATTTGTGTGGGCACTTAATATTAATTTATTTTTATTATTTTACTTATTTTTAAATTTTTTTTAGTTGTAGATGAACACAATATCTTTATTTATTTTTTATGTGGTGCTGAGGATGGAACCCAGTGCCTCACATGTGCTAGGCAAGTGCTCTACCACTGAACTACAACCCCAGCCCTATTTTTAAAAAAATTATTTAAAAAAATTTCTATTATTTTACTATAATTTTAATACACCTTTAAAAAGAGTTCAAACCAAGGAACTTAGAACTCACACTCAAAGACAAATTACACACATTGCTCTTTAAAAGTAACATCTCAGAAATACTCAGGTGGCTCCATTGTAATGTGTAGGATGAAGTCCAGTGATTCTATTTCTAGGCTAATAAACGGCATTTCTCTTTCTACAATTAAAAACGTGATAAAAACATCTGTTTTGTATTAAGCATGATCAAGTGAATAACATGGAAAGAAAACAACATTAATCAAAAACCAAAATCTGTTCAAAAACAGAGCAGTGGAGAAGATAAAATAAATAGAAACCAAAGACCTCATTTTATAAATTCCATTTACATAATGGGACTCAATTTCCATTTTTTTTTTCGGGGGGTGGGGTGGGGTGGGGGGGTGGTATCAGGGATTGAACTCAGGGGCACTTGACCACTGAGCCACATCCCCAGCCCTATTTTGTATTTTATTTAGAGACAGGGTAGCACTGAGTTGCTTAGGGCCTTGCCCTTGCTGAGGCTAGCTTTGAACTCAGGATTCTCCTGCCTCAGCCTCCCAATCTGCTGGGATTACAGGCGGATTACAGGCGTGTGCTGCCAAGCCAACTTAATATCCATTCTTAAAGAAATGTTTACCTCAAAGATATACTGCTGTCGAGTTCTTGATGAGTAAATACTGACTTGGAGGCCACAACAGGCTACCTCCCTGATCACCACAGATGAGGAGATGACCCCACACAGCAACAGGGACCCTCCACTCCACCTAGTGTTGCCAAAAGCTCGGGCCTTGTCCCTGATGCCAATCCAATAATGATGACACAGTTTCGAGAAAAAAGGAAAAAGAGTCATTGCTTTGCTAGCAAAGGAGAAGCACAGAGGACTTCTGTACCAAGGGCTGTGATTCTGCCATCAGCAGAATACCTTTATTTTATTTATTTATTGTCACGTGGTGCTGAGGATTGAACCCAGGACCTCGCACATGCTAGGCGGGCACTTTACCACTGAGCCACAACCCCAGTCCAGAAGGGGGGGGGGGTTAAAGAGATGATTTAAAGGCTACATTCCACGTGTTCTCTGTTGGTGTTGTAATTCACTTGTAATTTGGGAGACAGTCATTTCTGAGATCTTTTGGTGCCATCCCCAAAGTCTGGATTACTTTGTTCCTATGATAGGTATAAAGTCAAGGACAGATAACACTGCCTAAAATGGGGAAGAGAAGTAACCCTGTTTCCCTTGAGATTAGGAAAGGGTAGAGATTAGGTAGGAGCATGGATAGAGGAAGAGAAAGAAGCATCTTAAAAAGACAGGTCGCAGGGGCAGAGCAGTAAGGGTTATATTTAAAGCACAGCGTGGACTACTGTTATACCACCACTAAGCCACACCCCCAGCCCTTTTAAAAAAAAGTTTATTTTAAGACAGGTTCTGGCTAGGTCACCCAGGTTGGCCTTGAATATAAATCCTCCTCCTCACCCTCCCAAGTTGTTGGATTACAGGTGTGTGGTACACACTCCCATTGGCATTTAAAGTACTGTTCTCCATCAATTCACAATAACTTCCCAGTTGGGCTTTGGAGGATGGATGGATAGACATGTGGAAAAAGCAAAGAAGAAATAAAAGGTTTGATGCTCAATGACCTAGAGATAAACTCAGGCTGTTTTTAGGTGAATGTGAGTTCCTCTCTCTTACCAAGACTTCAGCATTATCCCTTTTCAGCCCAGCCACATCCAGCTTTGCCTAGAATTCCTTCTAACCCTTCATAGGCTGCCATTCTCTTCCCAGCCGAGCTCCTGATTAGCTTTCTAGTCAACATGGGCATCATTCCCTGGCCTCCCTCTTTTCTATGCACCAGATCAGTGCCTCCCCCAAGCCCAGTTATCATCATTCCAAGGTTAAGATCTATGTGACTCCTTTGTTCTCCTGTCTGGCCACAGGGAGGATCACAGGGTGCTTGGGTAACCTACTATCCACACCGGACAGCATCAAAGGCAACACCAGTACAGAGTCTTTTTGAGAATGAAAGATGGGTAGATAGAGCACTTAGTCATGCTTTATTTATAGCATGTCGGAATAAGGGGGTACAACAGAGTTGTGTGGCTCCAGTGTAGATCAGTGAGCCAGATTCTA